TCAGAAAATGTTTTCTTGTAACTTAAATGAAAAGAAAAAGTTTACGAATTCTTAAACAGAGAGAGAGAGAGAGAGAGAGAGAGAGAGAGAGAGAGAGAAGAGAGAACATTCTGTTAGTGATTGTGGAAAAATGCTGTGTGCTTAAATTATCAAGTTGTGAGATTCTTTTGGTGTCATAGCATCAAAAAATGGTAGCCGTATATAAATCCTGATGTGGTTTTTATGTTCGGAGATCTGTTCGATCGATTGTCTACGAGTTTATTCAACATAAAAATGGAAAGGAGTAATCTCCTCGAAAATCTCGTATATAATAGATCTTTCATATAGATCTTTCTTTTTTCTTTTGCTTCTCTGTTAAATTTCTACGTTATAATTAATTTCATTCTCATTAATTAAAGACATCTAATGTTGCATGTTTCACTTAAAATTTTCACAAAAATTTAAAAGTTTTTTTGCGATACACAGCATTAAATATCTAAGTGTAATATTCAAATACCGATTTATCAGATAATTCCAATTTCTGCTTCGTATTCTTCTTCTTGTCAACGTGTTTTCGTAACAATAATAATTTTTGTTTTTATATTTTAGACAAATGTTGTCTGAAGCAAATTTTGAGGATAATGTTTGTTAGACGTCATAAATCGGGATAATCATATAGATGTTTTTTTATATAGTTCCTAAACATGTCTTATGAATTTTAAGACGTCTCTGGGTGTAATGATTTTTCAATAAAATTGCAAAAAAAATCGTTCAATTTGATTTAATTTATTGCTTCGAGAGCTATGCTTCAAATTCAAGTCATATTTCTGAATTCGCGAGATTACTGGATGTTTCTTAAAAACGCAATTTGCGAGAGAAGAAAATTTCCATTTATTATTAGATTTATATATTTATTATTAGATATGTATTATTAGATTTTATATTTATTAAGTGTTATAATTATAATCTTATCACTTATTCCAATCAAAAGCAGCCGAATAAGTATCAGCTATCAATACAAGACTTACCCGATGAAAGAAGATTGGGTCGTCAATTCAACGATCGCAATGCTGTGTTTCCATTGCATTTAATGCCTTGAGCATCCTTCCCATGCATCCCTCGATTATTCGACAATCAAGACTCATCTCAGAGTGATTTGCGTTAGAAAAATCGGCGGTTTAACTAATTATTAATTGTAAATTCCAAGCTAAGTGATGAGCACACGGGTACAACACATCTAACGCGATGAAGTTGAATTGCGTCACGACGCAACGCCGCGTGCCGACTGAAAACTGAAACTGCCGTCGCTCTTCTCTAATTCTCCAATGACAATCGAGGGAGAGTATACGGCTATACGGGCGCGCCTGCCAACATCGGGACGCCCATGCCGCCGCCGCTACCACCGCCGCTACCACCGCCACTACCAAGTACCACCACTGCCGTTGCTGTCACTACCGTAACGTTCAACTACCCCATGAGCAGCTCGCTAGAAAACATCGCTGTGAATTCTGTCCACACGTGACGTGCAATTGTTGACTGGTGATTGTTTCCGTTTCCACCGCCTTCACCGGTCGACTCTGGTCGACTCGACTGATGAGAACCGACTCGGGAAACTCGCGTTGGGTCTCGTTGTCGAGGAGACGCGATGCAGCCCTGTGATCGATCCGTTTCGCCCCTTCGTATATGTCAGTATACCATGTACATCGCACGGCGTGGTGCAGCGCAACGACAATAGAGCGAGCAGGATGAACATAATGCTCAGGACAATATGCGCAACAATAGTGAGCGCAACAGCATGGCCGAGAATGAGCTGACGCGGAGTCGGTGTCGCGGACGTGGAGAAATGGATAAAGCCAGGAAAAAGAATGAGCGCGGTCACTCGTAAAAGTCGTAATTTTTGGGTGGGGGGAATTATATTTGTAATTGCAGAGGAGGATGTAATGTAATTCATAGATGCGATCGTATGGGCGGACATCAGATAGAATCGAATTATGCTCTTTAATGGATATTTTAATTTCACTTTGTGTGAGTAATGAAAAAATATATTGATTTCGCTTCTATAAAGAGAGATATACAATAATTTCATATTAATCCTATTCTAATCCTCTGTCCAATTTATAAAATTATATATCTTGCAAAACAACTTTGACCATATCGTCAAAGACTAAAATGGCGAGAATAATGAGAAACGTATACACTAATACACTTATCACTTATCATGTAATGTACTTATGTACATACATACATATCTAATGAATATCTAATAATATAGGTACACATAGTTTGGATATTTTTTATAGTATATTTTTTATACGTATATGAAGATAAATCATCTCCATTGTAAGTAATCTCAGATTTACGCATATTTTACGCTTATATGGTTCGTCTGTTATTTAGAATATTTAGATGCTTGATTTAAAACTTTATATACAATAGTTTGCACTAGTTAAATTTGGTTCGCGCGACGCTCAGAAGACAATAAAGTAAAGTTTAATCTCAAAAATGAAAGAATTTAACAATATACAGAATATAATTTTCTATTATTTTTCTTTGTTGTACTTTCTTTATTATAAATAAGTAATGCTTAAACAATACGTCTTTAATTTTGTAGAATGTTCTGTAAGAGAATAAGGACAATGATCAGTAAGTATAAGATAAAATATAAAGATAAAGATTTGAAATTATAATTATGAAGAATGGAATAAAATAGAAAATAGCAAAAAAGCTAGTAAACAGTAATACGTGATATATCTCGCAACTTATTGTTAGAAGCTAGCCAAGGTACGATTGTTCAGCTTGTAAGTGGACTGGAAACACCCTAAGTGGGGGTTTCTGAGTGTGCAATGAGAGTGATGCCGTAAGCTGGCAAGATGGATTTTTGTACAAAACGTAAAGTTTTGTAGTACTCCCCTGCAACCAATTCTATAGCAGATCGCCGGCTTCTCAACGCATAGCTTTCAATCGATGTACACAGAATTATACAATGCAACGAGATCTATAACGAATTTTATTAGCTATTCATTGAAACAAATGGAATACGAATAATATTTATTTCATTTAATTTTATTATTTAATCTTAATAGATAAATATTTATTAGAACAAAAGGCGATTGTTGAAGGCATTTGTTGAAGAGATGCTTTCAGTTTGCTCTGTTAAGAGAAATCTTGCGTAGTGATAACATATGAGTAATACACGAAAAGGGGGGATCTAAAAATTGCCAAAATTGATCCCAAATTGACACTTAAAAAATCAATTCCACAGTGTTTCTTATTTATGTATGCATGTATATGAAAGAGAAAAGTAATATTTATGTCCGGAAATACTGGGAAAATTACTAAAATGTAATATAAAAAAATGAATTGATATTTTTTAAAAATAAATGGACAAGTCTGAGTAACTCCGCAGATTCCTTTGCATAATCTTGTAGAATATATTTTTGTAATTTCGAACGTCTCAGCACACTTTGAGCCATCTTCAGCGAAGTAGGAGGTATATATATTTAAGAGCTGTACAAATGTATATTTCGCATTGTATTTTTCCTGGTGTACAACGAGTGAAGCATCGAATTTTCTGGTTCAAGGTTGTAAATGCCAATTAATTTTAAAACCAAATGATCCCGCTGCATGCCAGAATGCAAACTAACATTATGTCCAAAAATATATAGATTTAATCATTATTTTAAAATAATACGAAATACATGCTTAATAAACAGCTGCTTGATAAACAGCTACTAATTTAAAAAAAGGAATAAACTTGTACATGGTTTAATTTCTATTCTTAATCTAATTTTAATAAATAAAAGTAACATTATCTCTCTGTAAAAAAAATAATTTTTGTCTTTTAAAAATATATAATTTTTTCTACACGCGTGTATTTATTAAAACTTCAATGTCTTAATCTTTTCGTGTTTTTCTTTTTTATAAAATGTATAAGTACAATGTTTTTGATAGGGTTTGCATGAATTAAAGCATCTCTTCTGATAATTACAAAAAAGGCGAAATACACAAATTTCAAAGCTAATAATAAACTTTACATTTCCAGTTTGCTTTTAAATTAAAGAGAAAATATTACCTATTTAGATATAGAGCTTTAAACCATCTGATATGATCTCGACGATTTCAACATGAAGAATGATCCGATAGGCAGATTTGTAGCTTTTAGTGTGCCCAGAGATAAAAATTTCACAGATACCACATTTATACCTACTTCTCTAACACACGCGTGACAGAATTTTTTTATTAGGTATCATCTCTATATTTATCCAATTAAGAACCTTATTATTACCTGCATAATCATTCAACGTATGCTTCCTGCAATCTGTAGTCTTATTTTTCTTTTCTTGGAAACTTATTTTATCGAAAGTATGATATTTTACGATATTTTCCTAATGTGATGTTTCCGCATCTTTTTGTCACGTTGTGATGACATGTGTACGCGTCGAAGTTTAAAATGATCTACATGATTCGGCTAGGTAAGTAAAAGTTTGGAAATAGACAATTTTTCCGAAACTCTTTCTCTCTCTTTCTCTTATACCATATTTGTTTATAAGTAAATTGTTAGTATAAGAATTAGTCTTTGTTGTACGAGGAAACCGTCATTCTCGTTTTCTTTGTTGTCTCTCTTGCCTATGGTACCTTTTATTTTATTATACATTATATATACAGGGTTGGGCATGATTTGAAATACTTTTATTTAAAACACATTATTTGCAATACAAGTATATTTTATATTTTGTACTTCAGTAGAGCACATGGAAGTATCACGTATTTTGTAATTAAAATTGAAAGATTGAAAATTTTTGTATTTTGTAATATAAATGATAAGATTGATTGTCAAATCTCTTAGTTGAAATACAAAATGCAAAATACAATTGTCTTACAAATACTGTTTTTCAAATGAAGGTATTTCAAATGCATGCCTAGTCCTGTGTGTGTATGTGTGTATCCTTATTAAGAAAAAATATTAAATAAATTACATTTTATTTGCACACACACATTATTCTCTCTCATCTCTCTCCTCTCTCATCTCTGAATTTTAAGTTTAATTTTTGAAATTCCGATTGTTCTCTAATTCTTTACTAAATTGCAATTATGTTCAAAAAAAAAACTTTGAGAAGCTATGATTTGGTAATGTCAATATTTTTTTCCTCATTTTCATGATTAATTTCATTCTCGTCGATCGATAAATCTGAACCATCTTCTTTAACTTTCTTCGTGGATTGTTCCTCGTTACCTTGATTCAATCGAATGGTCTTTGATTTCTTTTCTACGTCATCCGTGTGAATATTGCTCTTTGGATCGTTCTCATTCATCTCGTAATCGTCTGCCTCATCATCGGTAACCTCTTCAGTATTCTGCGGGCTGGAAATTCCTTTGACCGTTTTATCGCGTTTCTAAATCTACACTATGGTTCACAGTGCGGACACTCTGATCGATTATAACGCTAGATTCTAATTATTTCGCCTAACAGGGAGCAATTATGCAGAGATAAAAATAATTCTATCGATCATAAAAAACGTTGCGTTTATTATTGGGGAGAAACGTAAATTACACATAGATATATCACATTATAAATATCTTTTTTTTTTTATTTACATGTATTTAGCTCTTTTTCTAAATTATTGATATTTAAATAATTAATAAATTATGTAAATGTATAATGAATTTTATCAGCACACTGAATCAAAACTGTACGTAAATACAATAAAATATTCATTGAATTATGAAAAAATAATGAAAATTGGTCCAATGAATTCTCATAATGATTTAGATTATAAAACTATTCCTACAATTCATTGCAAGAATGAATATATAGTTGTATAAATGAATCCAGTTATTGTATCAATGAATTAATTACATTAAAACGGACATTAAGTCGGACATTGATTAACAATCATTTATTATAACGACCAAAAATGAACAAAATTTTTTTCAGTGCACATCTATAAATTTGTGATCGTTTTCTTTTACCTTCGAAATTTACTTCAACTTAAAGAAAAGAGTTGAACCGTTATCCAAGAATCAAAATAGTTTTAAATTTTAAATTTTTTCTTCTTGCTATTTTATTTTTGATCACGATAATTTTTGTTTAAATTGCGACAATTTTTTTAAATAGAATTTTTATATACACACACTCTCGAGGTCTTCTTTGATTATTATATTATGTCGCGAATTATATGTTATTATATGGATTATACCTGAAAATTACCTGCTGTATCTTCTACGTCTTCTACTACAAGATCTGCTCCTTCTCTTCTTCCTCATTCTGCTTTTATGGCGTGTCCTCGAAGCGCTTCTCAATCTTTGATCTCGTCTATATCTTCCTTGTCTTGTTTGTCTCCTCTTTTGCTTTTGGGAATCTTTGAGTCTCGTCGGAATATCACGATTCTTACAGAGAATCATATCGCAAATGCTGATATTGTTTCTTCGCGAATCACTTTTCATTAAGTCCGAGGACACGCATAGAATTCTATAAGTAGAATTAGAAGGGATAAGGTAACCGGACTCGACACCAAAATTCAACGCCTTTTTCATATACTTTGTTGCCTCTTTCGTAGCTGTCGAAGAAAATTTATGAAAATTTATTCCAGGTAAAAAATTATCCGAATAAAAATCTTTTCGTGTATTACTTTTTCAATTGCCTTAAAATATTAAATATATCAAAATATATAGAATACATAAAAAATATATAAAGTATAAAATACATTTAGTAAATATATATATATATATATATAAGAAGTATAGAATACAAAGGGCGATTGAGAGAGCAGCGTTGTCGTTGGTACGCAAAGTAAAAGAATGTGATTCTTGTTACTTTTATTCCAATCAATATGAATTACATGAATCAAGTACGTTTCGATTCCCTTTGGAGTCTTCTTCAGCAAATTACGACAAAATAATTATTCCTCCTTGTATGTGTAGTCCCCATCAAATTTGCAGATTTGATGTTGTAAAATCTATTAACATATGCCTGTGATTGGCTGATTTTCATTTAATAGTAAAAAAAAATTTTTTAAGAGGATTGGCTCACCTCAACAAACAAAGAAGAACGTCTTGAAACTTCGAATCAAATCTCATTAAGCTTGTTCGGTCACAATGGTAATTTGAATTACTTAAATAACGCTTATTACGATTACATGCTTATTTTAGAACGTAAAAGATATAACTGATAAAATTTATGTAATATAATGTAACGTGTCGGTCAAACAATATAAATAACATATGAGGAGGTAATAAACTAAGATAATACACAATTACAAACAAATACAATAAAGATATTAGTTAAGTTAATATAATAAGGCAGTTCAAAAATTAAAAAACATAATGAGCACCGGTGTTACATTTAATTTATGGTATATTTTTCACAATGTTAACATAATTTTGATATAAGTCTTCCGTATCTAAATATAAATTGATGCTGTTCTCCATATGTATATGAAAGCATTCGGATGTTAGTCGTTTATTTAAAAATGGTTCTACATCGAGTATTTCGACATCATCTCAGTTGAAATCATGTTCGAAATTAAATCTGTGCTCTGTAATTATTGAGTGAATATTTGAATTCCGTTTTATGTCATTTCGGTGTTCTGAAATCCTGGTTTTGAGTTTTCTACCTGTTTGTCCTACATAAGTAGCATTGCAGGAACTGCACGAAATTTTATAAACTACATTTTTCCTTTTTTCACGTGGGATAATGTTTTTTTGCACCCTAATAAACCTGCTCAATTTATTTAACTTTTTGTTTTACTATGAAATGAAAAGCCAATCACAGGCATATGTTAACAGATTTTACAACGTCAAATCTGCAAATTTGATGGGGACTCAAACTACACATACAAGGAGGAATAATTATTTTGTCGAAACGTATACTTGATTCATGTAATTCATATTGATTGATGGAATAAAAGAAACAAGAATCACACTCTTTTACTTTGCATATCAACGACAACGACCAACTCTCAATCGCCCTTTGTATCCTCTTCCTTTTTGAATTTGGAGAGTCCGTAAGAGAAGATTACTTTTTGGTATATTACATACATATGCATACATACAATTTATACATATATATGTATAAATTGTACTGTGGGTACAATATCATTATCTATTATTAAATTATTATCAAAATCAAGTTGAAATTTTATATGGTATATCTAATTTAATTATTAGTTCTAGAATATTTGCAAAAGTAATAAACACTGGATATATTTCTTTATATCTTTTAATTATCACTTCGTTACAATCTAATTTTTTATGTATAGTAATCTGTAACTATTTTTTCAATTAATTTCGTACTTTTTCTATCCATGCATTTTTGTAAATATGAGATTGGCTGATTCTTGGAAATAGGACATTGATTGACATTGTACAATTTTGAAATCCTGCCAATGTCTTTGTGCCATCTTTGCCTTACTCTGTAGTCTATGCTCTTGCCGATGGTTGAGGTTGAAATAGAGTCTATGACTTTATGATGTTTCCCTTGATCGCAACAACGGCACTTGTTTACAAGACAATGTTCATTACCATCAAAAGCTTCATTCGCAATAAGGAACTTGTAGACTAACTCGGGAATATTAGGTTTGCGACGACGATGCTCTTTAGATTATATTATGGTGAATAAATTATTTTTATTTTTATTTTATTGAAATTTTTTACTTCATTTTTAGTATTACACACAATCAATCAAATAAGGTTAAATGTAAAAAAATGTACACCTAATATACGCTATAATCAATACTTTAATATTAATGTTGATTTCCTGTCAATTTCAATTTAAAAAAATTAAAAGCGAAAATTAAAAGACTGCATCTTAAATATAAATTAATTAGGAATAATACTTCATATATAATGAAATAATATAACAAACTGATTTATGTGCAGATTGATATACAAAACAGATATCAAATTTAGAAAAGGCTTTTTTATACTTATTCCTTATCAAAATTTGTATAAGATCTGTTAGATTAAAAAAATATGAACATATGTATTACAAAGGAAACGATATAAATTCTTATAATTTGCATTGAAATAATTTCTCACCCATTTCTTGATGATTTGATATGTTCCGATGTTTCTTTATGGGAGACATTTTGGGGTTACTGTCAGTTCTGCTATTTTTTTTATTTTTAGATATCGTGAAAAATTTGTTGTTTAATTATTAAATATACAACTTAGCTCAGTTTTGTCAGAATTTTTTGATCAATCAGTTGATAAAGCGAATTTTGTTTGAAATCGTCTAAAATAACGTTGAAAATTAAAAAAGGAAGACCAATGACCAATGACACTTACTCTTTACATAGTTTTTTCTTTTCTTTTTTTGTATAATGCACTCAAGATTTGCAATTATTGTTCGAGTAATCGATTGATTGTTAAATCTGTTTTCTGTGACTAAATTATGTATGTATGTATGTATGTATGTATGTACATATATACATTTTTGGAACTTAAAGTGAGATATGTATGTATTTGATATTTGGCGAAAGCGAAAAAGAGAGTTCTGGTGCAGTCTAGTCCAAAAATCTAGTGTGCAAGGAATAAAAAACAGATCTATTAAATACAATAGTTTTTAATAATCATGTAGTAATATACATGTATATACAATAATGTGTGCGTGCGTGCGTGCGTTTCAAGAAATCGAATGTAGTAATTCTTTGACTTTAAACAATAATTCGGAATAATGGTATTGTAAGCGCAAGAAATAATTTTATTGAGTATTCTGCGTCTTGAATATACATATATGTAATTTAAGCTAAATAATTTTTATTTTTTATTAATATTTGAACTAATTACTTATTTGTTAATTTATGAGTATTATTGTATTGTGTATGTATATATATATATATATATAATTGATAATATTTAATTGATGATATTATCAATTAATTTACTGTAATGTTAAAACGTAGAAAACGCTTCTGGAGTAGTATTTTAGAAAAATATGACAAAATTAAAGGTCCTTGCACACAAAAAACTTAAGGCAGTAAGACGTAAGCAGTAAGGAAATCAACATGTTGGGTTCGCTACTGCTTATGTTACGGCCTTACAGACTCTACTGTGATTGGTCAATTTGCTTACTGCTTACGTTTTAATGCTTAAGGAGGTTCTCGCGCTACTTCGTAGTCAATAGACAGTTTATTCACAATAATATGTAAAATAATTAAAATAATGGAATAAAAAGGTTATTAATAATATCTTATGCCATTATACATAATTATTATATTAATTTTATATGTTACTAAATATTTTCAAAATGACAAAATAAAAGTTGTATGATGCTCATTTGATGTATACGCATCGTCCATTTGACATATATTCTAGCTTTTTTCATTGAAGAATATAAATTTCTTGTAAACTGTACGGTCAGTTTAAATGAAACTTTTTACGAGAACAAACTTAAGTGTTTACTTTATAATTATAACGATTTTTAAATTGCTGTCTTATACGCAAGTGTCTCAATTTAAAAGAGAATAACTACAGAATAAGGTTATACCTTCAACTTGTAATATAAAATTCTATAAATTTAGAATTAAATATATCTTCAAAATATGGTACGGTAAAAGTCAATAAAATTTTTTCTAGATATTATTGATATTATTAACTTTTGCATTACATGTATATTATAGACTTGTCTTATTTTTCACCAAACGCAAGAACCTCCTTAAGTTTTTTTGTGTGCCATGGCCCTAAATATTTGCAGATTTCTTCTCTATGGAATTTACATGTAGAGAGTGAATTTTAATAAATGTCTCAACGTTTCAATATGAAAGATGAATTACCGACTGTAACACATGAGAGAGAGGGGGGAGGGAGCGAGAGAAGGAGGGAGCGAGGGAGCGAGTGAGCGAGTGAGTGAGTGAAATTATTCACCTCTTATGGTAAAACGTTAAGACATTCATTAAGATTCACTCTTATATAAAAGAAATAAAATCAAAAAGAATGATAGATATACAGGGTGTAACTGAAATAACGCCTACTAATCGTATAGTGCTAATAAAAAAACTGAGAAAAGTCCTCTACCAATTTGCAATTTTTGCAATATTTTTTTTAGTTACCCAATGAGCAAAATGTTTAAAATCGACGTATAAGACAGCTTTAAGATATCTTCATGAGTTCTTTAAGAAAAATCTTTAAAATATTTCACAAAAAAACACGGAAAGATATCTCAAAATTATCTTATACACCGATTTTATCCGTTTATTTGGCAATGTTTAGAAATTAATGTCTCGTTAACTATTGCGAAAATTGCAAAATGGTAGAGGACTTTTCGACTTAGTTTTTTATTAGGAATAGCACTGTATGATTAATGGGCGTTATTTCAGTTACACCCTGTACATATACATGCTTGGATACAAAAATATAATTTCAAATGAATCTCAAAAATGTATGTAATAAATATATTTTACAAATGGTGAAAAGACAAAAGAGTACAAAAGAAAAGAAATTCTCGTTTTTTTTATCAAGAAAGGCGTCATTCAAGATTGGCATTCAATTCTTTAAAATTCCATTTCTTTAATCGCTTTGTCACTCATGTTATGATCGACACTTTCGTTTTCAGACCTTTTGTCATTATTTTCATCATCGGAATTTCTGCTTTCTATTCTGTCGTAATCTATCCTGTTATTATTGATATTTGTCTCGGTTTTTCGTTTCTCCATTCTCGATTCGTCTTCTTGACTTGACGTCGACTTTTGTTCCTCAATTCTATAATTACCTTCATTGCTTTCGTATTGATTGAGAGCTTTTTCGTTAACGTCCTTATAACTTTCCTCAACTGGTTCACGATCATTCTGAGCATATTTAGCAGAAAAAGACATACGACGTTTTTTAATTGACTTCTTGATGTTTGCGTCATCTTTTTTTTGTTGTTGTCCTCGTTTATTGTTGATCACATTGTTAATTTTGCTAAAACGAACATAGTGCAAATAAATTGATTTTTCTTTTTGAAAAACGAATATACACTGGCAAAATTTATTCCATAAAGCAATATTATAAACACCATGCTATCTATGAATATAATATAAGTATGAGAAGAAAAGAATTTAATACTACTCTTTATTTTTATCTTCTTGCTTTCCATGTTTAAATCTAAAGCATTCATAATGCATTTAAGTGTCATTAAAACGTCTGTATTGTATTAAAGTTCATTAAATGCATTTTCGTAACATAGTTAAGCTCATTAAATTGTTTAATATAAAATGAAAGAGACATAAGAAAAAAGTGATGTTTTTAGAAACGGATTCATAAGAGATAGCTATCTAATTTTAAGATTCTCGTAATTAAATTTTGTGAGAGAAAATTTTGTGAGAGAAATATAAAAATGTATTTTGCATAAAATTTTAATACCGAGTAATCAGTGCGCATTACTTTCATATCAAGTGGCAATGAAAGATGTGATGGCTAATATGCCGAATAGGGGAGGCAGCTCCGATGACCTTGACATATGTTGTCATGACCCTGAGTAACTTCTATCAGGTTTTAGCTGTCGTTCGTCATTCATTAAAAAGTTATTAATAAAAAAGGTTTGAAAAATAATGTCACTTTTCTATTATATCAAGGTCATCGGAGCTGCCTCCCCTATTTGGCATATTTATCAAAAAAATTACAATAAGTATCTCTTTTTAAATTAAATGAAAACCTGTTCTTTCTTGTAAAAGCTTTCGGTTTGCTTTTCTCGTATAACGATTTACAAAGCGATTTTTGTGGGTTACTCTCTCGTGTATTTAAATTTTTGGCAGAATTTTGAGCAGGTCGTGTTTTTCTTTTTGAAGCCGTCTGCTTGTTGTCCATATTACTGTAAAGAAATTTATCTCGTGGAATTCCACGACGCATTGCTTTCCGTTCGGCGATGGTTGTCAAACTCTTTCCTCGTCGCGCAATGCGTCGTCTTTGTCGAGATTCGATGTCGGCCCGTCTCCAATTCCAAGATTGTGTGTCCAGAGTCGGACACACACGGAGCATATTACCTTGTCGATCGGTCGGGATCAAATAACCCGATCTCACCCCAAAAGATAATGCTTTGCAGATATACTTTTTGGCCTGTCGCTTTCCTGCAATATGGATGTCATTGGTTGTGCACTCGTCATCTCTCATGAAATTTGATCTCGCCAAAAGCGCTCTTAGCTCTACAGCAGCATGTAATGACAGTTGACGTGATACAGGCACACCGAACGAGCCAGTTTCTACTTGAAACATACTCATCCGATACATCTGTTCTAGAAATTATCATTACACCTACTTTTAGGACTCGCAAAAAAATTATCAGTTTATCACGTAAAGATAAATTATTAGAAAAAGAAAATATTATTTAAAAAACAATGAATTTTTTATATATACACAACATATATATATATATATATATGAGGTGTTCCGAAATTAGCAAATTAAAATACTACAGCAAAAAAGTTTTTGAGATATAAGGATTTAAATATAGCCAATTACAGATTTAGATGGCCACCTATTTATGAATCACACGTGCGGTAGTGTTACATATGGTAACTTTAGCGTTTAAATGTATTAATAATTTATCTAAAGTTTATAATTGGCCATATTTGAACCCTTATTATTTCACAAACTCTATTGCTTAAAAAATTAAAATTTATAAATAACTTTTTTACTTAATTTTTTGATAACTTTTTTACCGTACTTTGATTCGCAAATTTCGGGATGTACCCTGTATGTACAATAATAGATCTTTTTAAATCCTACAATCTTCGTCTAAAACATTTTTATCAAAAATGCATACTTTTCAAGATATTCAGCCGGCCCGGAACTTTTGGTGGGCACTGTATATGTATATATATATATATATACATATACATACATATAAAATTTTTTACAAAAAATTATGTAATATTTTTTTAAATCATTCGACTTGTTTTGAATGGGCTAAAAAGAGTTAATCCCCAATGGAGGTCTAGATATAATGCAATTGTTTAATAATGAAATCCATTGTAATCCATTGTATAATAGCGAAATCCATTGTAATCAATTATATATCATTGCAGCAATTTCTTTATGTTGAACTACTATGAGAGAGAAAGAATCTCAAATTTTGCTGCTATTAAGTATATTGAATATTTATTTTTATTGCTATATACACAAGCTGGAAATTCTATGTAAATGGAAAAATGCACCTTCTTCGATGCCAGCTTTGATGTAATTATTAATGAGCTGTATTAAGGATCTCTTCCTGAAAAGTGCTTTGGCGCTGTTGAGCGAGTTTGCTAGTGCGTTCCGTTCCATTGAGACATTTGACACGCTGCTATTCGCGGAACTCGTCGGTGCTGAGCTATTTGTAGCATCCGTTGCTTCTGTGAGATTATCGGTAGATGTAGGCCTAGATTCTATCGTGTACTCTGGCATTTGTACAGATTCCGAACCATTGCAGTGGTCGACCGCTTCGTATGACAGCCTTTGCTGTTTGTGCGAGTTCTGCGCTCTTCGACAGTGTGTTCCGAAGCGTTTCGGAGATGGAAAACGTCTTGCGTCTTCGCCAATAAACACATATAAAGACAATATTAGATTACAAATTAAAGTAAGATTTGGTTATTTCTATATAACTGATGATACTTGATGTTTTATCAAATATCAATTATATAATTATGTATGGAACATAAAATTGGAATAAAATACAATTTTCTGTTAAATATTTAAGATATAATTGGTTTTACGTTGAAAAATTCGAGTTGTGCGATACTTAAGGAGATATATATATATATATATATACGTAGATTAAAATAATTTAATTTTATATCTTAATTTATTGCCGTTTATCGGTATTAAACATATAATCATGTAATTATGTTTCAATCGTAATACCATGATTGTGTTTGTTGATGGTAAGGAGTTGATAGACTAATTGAGGTATATTGATGGAATCGTACAGTTGCCGTTGATATAGAGTGTTGGCGTGTTTACAGCGTACCGATTTAACTCGGGAACGAGTATCAGACTGTAATACTCGTCTTGTTGTCCGCTTCTTCCCGGATCGGTCTCTCGTTTTTCCCTTTGACGACGCCATTATTTAATAATTGCTTCCACTTTCCGATGAATTCGCGTTGTAAAAACATGCGATCGCATAGTTGGCATCGACTTGAGATAAAAACTGAATGATGCTCTTTCGTTAAGTTGTTATATATTTTCGCAGAAAAGTAACTATATATAATAAATTTAAGGATGTTTAGTATTTTTAAAATATTAAAAATTTGACAAAATTTTACAAATTGTTCTTACATATGTTCGGAGACTTGTGACAAAATCCTGAGTCGATTCACTGAAGCAATCCAAAGCTATAAGAATTAATTTGCTACAAATTTATTTAGTACCTATTTTCAAAATATCAGGAATTTAACAAAAATTTTATCGATTGTTGTATTATTACGTCTGAAATCTATGTAAAATTTGAACACAATTCTCTCACTATTAGTTTAAAAGTTCTTTAATTTTTTTCTCTTGATTCTTATGTAAAATTGTTATGATTTGATGAGGAAGCAATATTAAGAATTTAATCAAATTATATACAGGATGTCCGGAAATTAGCGCATCAAAATATCATAACAAGATAGAGCGGACTAAACTGAGTTGAAAAGTCCTCTACCATTTTGCAATTTTCGCAATAGTTAACGAGATATTAATTACTAAAAATCGCTGTGTGGTGAATATTGGTTTTCAATAATTTTTTACTCAAATACTATATCAACTTTACAGAAAAACAGCGAAAGACAAGAATTGTTTATTTTCCTCTCATAAAGTTTTAAGAATTTTTTTCAGAATTTTTTAATATCGTATTTTCTCATGTCGGTAAAAATAAGAAAATGCAGTACTAAAAAGATGATAAAAATTTCTAAAAAAGTTCTTAAAGTTCTGTGAGAAGAAAATACTAACTTGCCGTATTAGAACGAAAGCATTGAAATCCTATGGTTGAACTTTACCGGCACCGGCATTAACGGTTACGGCCATTATAAATCAAAAATTATAAATAATACAAATTTCTTTTCATTCTACCTTCAGCCTTGATCGCCATACTGAGATAAAAATGGATAAAGAAATCTGTAATTTTTTATTTTTTCTAGCTTTGAACACAAAATACACCAGCGACAAATACATTAGCGTGTACATTTTAATCATGAAAGAGAAATTTTTATTCTGTGAAACCGTTATGAAGAAATTCGATAGGAACAAAAACATCAAAAACGCTAGTTTTATCGGTAATACAGGCGGCTCCAGCAGCCCCTTAAAGGTGAGGCTCGTTCATATAATCGATCGGTTGGTCTGATATACATGACCGACGCAACTACTGATAGTACTGATGTCGCGACGAAAGCGCACCGTACTACTGAACTGCGACATCAGTTGATCAGTGATCACTTGATCAGTGTGGTTGTTCAGTCCTGTTCAGTCAGTTCAGTAAGCCTGTTCTTTTTGGCTGAACTTTTGCACCAGTTTATCTTTCTTCCTCTCCTTTCTTCCTGGAGAGAAAAGGAAGAAAGATGAACTGGTGCAAAAGTTCAGCTAAAAAGAACAGGCCTGGTGTAAAGTGGTGTAAGGCTGTAGGGTCATCAGTTACCGTTCGCGATTGCCGCAGTTATCATTTATTGGTTGCAACATCAATATATATATATATATATAATAATAGTTATCATCGAGGCTCCCGATTATCACTTATACATGCGACTATGCGTACGACGTACTTCCGAATATAAGTCAGCAGCAGCAGCAGTAGCAGCAGTGTGTCCCAGCGTGTTGGCTCGCGATCAATACTCATCCGAACGGATATAACGTGCAGCAGTGCAGCGACGATTGTTGTTGTCTCGTGAGTAGTTGAGTATTGAACTTATTCCCGTGGAGTCCCGAGTTCTCAAACGAATGTTTCATCTGCGATATAAATTTTTCGCATGTAAGGTTTATTTTTTCGGTGCAAAATAAATATGTATTTATACATTGTGTACAAGGTGCTGCTCCACATAAATATTATTGTGTCTTGCAAAGAACATTATTGTCAGAGGAAATCTCGAGAAACTCGTTGAGAGTGCAGTGATTGCTGAATTTTGTATTCTGTAGCGCGCTTAGAACAAAACGGCGAAGATGAAGAGACAGAATGTCAGGACTTTGTCGTTAGTAGTGTGTACATTTACGTATCTCCTTGTTGGCGCCGCGGTATTTGATGCCCTTGAATCGGACACTGAGAAGAAACGCTGGGAATTTCTCTCGGGTGAGTTCTTTATCGCTGTTTGAGTCGATGAATATTTTTAAGGGAATCGATAATTGATCATTAATTAATTTTTTTTCGCTTTTGGTGGGAAATATTATTACAGAGATACGCCGTAATATGATGAGGAAGTATAATATTACGCCGGAGGACTACAAGATGGTCGAAATTGTAATAATAGAGAACAAGCCACATAAAGCAGGACCGCAGTGGAAATTTGCGGGTGCTTTCTATTTTGCCACTTTAGTATTAGCCATGATTGGTGAGTCACGCTTGTGTTCCTTGATGAAAGAAATTCTCATAATTTCTCATAGAACACCTTTAAAATTTGTTATACTTTAAATTTATGAATATTTCTGAAGAATAGCTCAATCTTTAGATTTTATGAGTTTTCTTCACAAATTATAGAATGAAAAATCTTAGAATATATTATATATTTCAGAATTATATTAATATATATATATATATAT